ATAATATTCCTTTCTCTTAATTAAAAAAAAAAAAAAAAAAAGTTACTGTGTGCTGACCTCCAATGAGTTCTGCACAGTGGTATAGAGGGCATGTCAAAGTGTGGGCAAAGGGTCTGTTTGTTTCTACGCAGAAGATCAAGGCCTAGCTTGGATACCCAGAAAATGAACTAAGATACGATATGAGGAGGAGCTTCCGGCATCAGCACTCTCTGGAGGACTCGTGCCGGGGGATGATCATCAAAAAGCCTCCACAGGGATCCGGACGATGCTGCGGTTGTGGCTGCATCCAGCCCACCATCTCCTGGACTTGCCATAAGAAGGAGGAGGGAGATGTCTAGGCTGGCATGTGCATACAGTGAGACAACGAATTTGACTGGATCTGTACTGTTGGAACTCAACCAGGAGTTGGGAGGGGTGCAAGTTGTAGCACCCCAAAATCTCATGACTATAGACTATCTATGGTTAAAAGAACATATGGGATGTGAACAGATCCCAGAAATGGGCTGCTTTAATTTGTCTGATGGTTCAAGTACAGTTGGAAAATATCCATCATATCATAGATAAATTTTCACAAATGCCTAGGGTGCCTAAATGGTTTTCTTGGCTTCACTGGAGATGGCTGGTAATTATAGATTTGCTTTGTTTATGTCACCGTATTCCTATTATGTTAATATGTGTGTGCAAATTAGTTAGTAGTTTAAAACCTATACATACTTAAGGTACTATACAAGAAGATATGTCAAAGAAATAATCAATCCTCCCAAGTTTCCTTCATATGCTACATCTATAGCTTTTCTTCTTCCTTCCTAATTACAAACCTTAAATAGAATTCGTGCCTCATATCGAATTTACCGAGTATCATAATTCCTCCAGGTGGTAAAGATACCTCGAGACAAGTGCTGGGCATAGAAGCCACAGGGCATAAATCTGCAAAGAAGTAAAAAGCTAACCTTTGCAAACAATATGGCTTCTCTCTCACTTACCAACTTTACATTTCCCTGTATGGCCCCGGAAGATGACTGGTTAGCCAGAGACGGGTAAGATTCCTCAAGGGAGGAACAACCTAAGACAGGCACAGTCGCAGGGGGGCCATCAGGTGAGAATTTGGGGATCAACAGAGGTGAGGCTCAGAACCTCACCCCCCCTGCTTTGAGAGAAATCTTCTGCATCCGTGGATGTCTTGCTGCCCTTGTCTAGCCTGGATTAATACTTAGTCCATAGGCACACACCTGATCATCTGATCATCTACATTTGCCTTCTTACAGCACTAAACTATGTTTTCTACCTTTATCTTGCATCTACCTACCACTTCAGCATTTTATTAAAAATAAAAATAATAATAATAATAGGAGAAATGTGGGATCAACATATAAATCAAGTACAAAAATCAAATGAATATTCATATTTGACCTGATGGTTTATAGGTCATATTGCATGATCAAAACTGAAAGTTTCTGTGATGAATGCCCTTGTACTGTTCACCATGTAAGAATTTATTCACTATGTAAGAATTCGTTCACCATGTAAGAACTTGTTCGTTATGCTTCAGAAGATTGGAGACTGACGAGAGTTAGGCTTGAGATGGATTAATGATTGTACATTGAGCATTGACCCCCCTATACTGAATTTTATTGTTGTTAACAACCATTTGATCAATAAATATGAGAGATGCCCTCTCAAAAAAAAAAAGGAAAAAAAAAAGATGCTTCTTCATGGTGTAAATTCTTCAGCTAATATAATTTTATGGCTGTAGATTTAAATGATTACCTTAATATTGTTCTCATGTTATTTCTATGTAAATATGTATCTTATGAATGCATGGAATTGTACACTGTAAATGGGTGAATTCTATGGTGTGTAAATTATTTATCAATGAGGTTGTTTAAAAAGAAAAGTGCGGGCTAAGGACTGGCCCCTGCTCGCTGTGATAAAAGTGCAGAAATTGGGAGTAAGACTTAAGATACTTTTATAGCCATTTGACAGTTATTTCATATACGTTGAATATTGTAAAAAAAAACTCCACACGTGTCTTTTCCATGTTTACTTTTTAAATATTCATTTTTATTGCATATTATAAAAATATCAGTCTTCCACAGAATGGAAGAAAACCTCACATAGTTGACCTAAAGGAACTAGAAGAGTTTAAAAACCTGCCCGCCCCCGCGTCTCTCCCGGTGAGGGACTACAATACCCAGAATTCCGTTAGACGCATATGCTGTGTTAAGCTTTCGCCATTTCCGCGACATCCCAGGGGCGCGCAGTGCGTGCTTTTCTGCGTGCTCGCAGGGTCCTGTCGTCTTTTTCCTGTATTGGGACTGACGCCCGCGACGAAAGGTGATGTATCTCGAAGAAAAGCTAAAAGCTCTGGGATATGAGGGAAGGATGGGTGATGCCGTCGGGCCACTTGTTAGGGCCCAGGAATAGTCTTGACATCCGAGCTATCATAACCATCCTATCCCGAGATCCACCGGAAAAGTAGCAGGGCGTTGAGGGGTGACTTTGACCCCAAATCAGGGTCGGGTAGCTGGTAGCAGGTTTTCTTTTTACAAACGGCACGTGTTCAGCCGGGTGTTCAGGGTTCGACTGAGAAACTAAGGTACTCCTTCCGAGTATTGCGTTTTTGTCAAGCGCGGCGGACGTGGGCAGCACTGAGCCCACTCCTAGCCGTGGACCCTGAGACCCAGTCATTCGTCTAGTGTACCGGCGCGGAGCATGTCCGTCAGTGGCAGAGGCCGTCGCTGTTTAAACTCCACTGTATCTGTTCACAGCTGGTTCCTGTCTCATTTATAGTACTGATGCCGGAGTTCTTGTTCACGAAGCCGAAGAATGGGCTTCACAAACATTCAAGGTAGGAGAGCAAGGTACAGGCTTTTATTTAGAGATAAAGTGAAAGGACAGAGCTCCCGGCTCACATCAGGAGGGGTCAAGAGAGTCTGGGGTGGTGCGTTATCTAGGGGTTTTATAGGCAGTTGAGGATTTTTGAAAATGTGAAAGCTTAGGGGTGTGGACTGGTTAGGTAGTACGTGAATATTTAGAATTAACAAGAGCAACTTTCACCTCTGATTTCTCCCTGAAATACCAGCATCTTGGTCTGGGGGCATATGAAACAAGGCCACCTGCCCAGCTCCCAAGGAGGGCTGAGGTATTGTTTGCTAAAGAGTAAGTTAAGAATTTCTAACATCTTAACTTCTTGGGTATTAAAATGCAATTTTATCTTTAAGGTGGAATCCCACTTGCCTTTTACTGTGTTGTTTATGGCTGGGCCTGCATACTAAATAAGTTTGCCCAAGTTTGCAAAATCACTTCATCAGATTTGAAGGAGGAAGGACAGCACATAGGCCTGGGCCTTTTAGCATGTTAAAGTGAATCTTACACATGATTATTAATGATTAGCATAATAAAAACATGTGCTGCTCTTCTTTATCTGGGGTATATTAACTGATCTCACTGAAGAATGACTCTAGAGCTGAATGTTTCACAGAGTTTTAGTAGGGGGTTTCCATACATGGAGTTACATTGCTCTGACTGCAAATATCCTGCCTTGCCTTTTCTGGAGGCCCTCAACCTACTCTGACTACACCCATGGTCCCTGTGTCAGTACCAAGGCTCCACCTTTCGTTAAGCGACTTTCCAGGGTCAGTCAGCTGAGACAGAGCAGGGGATTTAACACCTTGGTATTATCCATTTTTTATAATCGAATTATCGTTGATACACAATCTTATGTTGGTTCCCAGCGTACAACACAGTGGCACCTTGGTATTCTAACCACTGAGCTGCTTTCCTTTAAATTGTGGGTACTCAGGAGAATCTTAACGATACCTTTAAATTTGTGCAGGGCTTTTTGTGTATGTGTGTGACCCCGGTCGGCTTGGATGAGGATGCAATACCCATTGCCACAAAAGCTACTATTCTCTCATCATTTTTTCTCTTTAATGGACAGCATGGCATAGCCTTAGAGAAGAGTCTGAGGCAATCATTAGGTGTTGGTTTGTTATAGTAAGGCTTGTTCGATTTGAGAGTCAAAAGAACTGGTTGGTTATCCTAGCTTCATTAGTACTAGAATAGTTTTTTTAACCTTCTGAACCTAGCTTTTCTTATCTGTAAAATGCAAGTGAATTATCTGCTTCGCAGGTTGAGAGAATTTATTGGGATAATGTATTTTAAGATTCTTTTCTAAAAAGGTGCAGAAGTGTTAGATATGATTTTAGTCCTAGCTTTTCTAATCATTGTTTCTCACACAGAAGTATAAACATATATAATGTTTTTAAAACAATTCTTTCTCATACTTATCTTTGGTTCTTATGTTGCTTCACCATATCTTGATACATTGTTTGATTTCTTCATATTACCTGATTAGAGCTTTACTCATCTCATTGGTTAAACACTAAGGTAGTGATTAAATTGTTTGTTCTTTTAGAGTATGAAGAGAAAGGGACAAGAAATTATCCTGAAAGCAAATATGCCAGAGACTATAATTCAGAAAAATAATTTTTTCAACAATTATAGCTCTTAATTAATGGCTACTCTTTGTAGAAACTTTGAAGATTATATATTTTCTTATTGCAAGCAATTTTACTCTTTTATTGGAAAGACAGTACTCAGTTTGGGATTTCTTTTTCCTTTCTGCTTTTATGGTCAAATCTGAAAACTAGCAAACATTCTTTTTAAGTGGAGTGCAGAAAGGAGCCCCTTTTCCTGGGGCATTAAGTTTTGGAGCAGATCCTACCATCTGGGTCATATTAAGAATAAAGTCTCTAGTTAATGCATAAAAACTTGTTATTTAAATTTGTATTTTGTAATTAATTTGATATTAACAATATAAGCAAAGTCATGTTAAACCAATCCTTTCACAGAAGCTGCATATTGGAATGAGATTTGGAGTCATCATAATGGAAGCAAAATACATGAAGGAAAAACAGTTATTTTTTTACCAGCATATTTCACCTGACTACTAGTTGCAAATGGTTTTACCAAAGAAAATTTGTGATGTAAATGAAAAAATACATTTTTTCTAGACTCATTGTTTACAAACATGCTTCGCCTAAGAGCTATTTGTCCATTTTCCTGGAGAGTGTTTAAATTTCGACCTTTCAGTTGCGAACCATTAATTAGCCAGATGAATAAGTGTACAGATGAAGAGCAAGTCTTTGATCTTATTGAAAAAAACAAAGCCATACTTTCAGAGAAGCAAGTGGAATATGCATTTAATATACTTTGGCAGTTTCGAAAGAGGAAAACCAACTTGTTAAAATATGTTGAATGTATCAGAGACCATCCCCAGTTTCTTACTCTTCACAATTTAACAACAAGTAAAATGAAATTCATGAATGATGGTACCCTAGTGAATGTGTTGTACATCACACAACGGTAAGCAATGTACTTTTAGATTTTGTAGAAATGATTGTATTTTTATATTTTAATTATCTAAAAATCTCTTTAAAATGAAAAACCGTGGGTTGTGGGATTTTTTTGTAAATAGTTTCCCTGATCATTTACTATTTTTAAGATCTTTAGAATATATTCTCTGTGTCAATCATTTCACAATGTATATGTATATAAAAAGTAGGGCATTGTACAACCTAAATATATATAATTTTTATTTGTTAATCATTTCTCAATTTTGCTGGGAAAGAATTTGAATAGACATTTTACATTGTTTGCAAGGGAATTCAGCCTACAGAAGAACTGGATTCCCTAAGTAAAGGATTCAGCAAGTACATAGAGAAGCACACAAAAATTACAATTGTCTGTTTATTTGTCCCATTGGTGGAAAAGCAGCAGTTTTCTCACATGATTGTGCAACCTTAGGGAGCTATTTAAGATAGATGTCAGCATTGTACAAAGCAGAGATACAGTTGCTTTTGTAGGCAGTCAGCATATACAGGAAAGGGGCATAAGGCTTTACTTATTTTGGGGATTGGTGTCAGACTGAAAAAAGAGTGACTTACCTTTTTTGTGGTCTTTTTCAGATTGCAGAGTTTTTTCTCTGAGGTACCTAAAAAGAGTATGCAATGATAATGGACAAGATACCAATTTTGCTTTATCAGTGGTCATGTTAGTTTAGAAAATGCTGACTCAGATAAAACTTAGGTCTTTATTGCAGGACTCTTCAGAGATGTTAATGTGTATTGTGAATCTCTAAGTGAGGGCAGTTTCCAAACTTACTTAACTACAAAACATTGTTTTGAACACCTCAAAAGACTAATAATATCTGTCAGGCACAGATGAAAAAATGCTGCTTGGTGATGATTTGCCTAAACACTGCATTTCTGTATTTTTCTCCTAAGTCATATTTTAGTAATGAAGGGATTTCAAGAGTAAAATATAATTTTGTGTGTAAGTTTTTAAAATGGCGAGTAGTTTGATTTTACTTCATGACTTAACCTGAAAGTCTTTGACTTTTAGGAGACAAAATATTATAGCCTTAACATTGTGTAGAAATTGCTTAAAAAGATTTTTAAACATAAAATATATAGTATATGTAGCTTAAATAATTATGTAAAATAGCCATTGTTAGTGAAGGTATGTTAGAAGAGGAACTCTTATTTGCTGCTGGTGGTACAGTATGTATTAAGAACTATAAAAATGCTTTGGACCCATTTTCATTGTTCAGTAGAGGGCATTATAATGAATAAAAGGATGGGAGGCATGGGATAAAGTGTAAATATTTATTAGATTGTGTGAAGAAATCAGAATGATGAAATGGCAATGGACCAGAAATAAGGTTGACTGTATAAGAGTATATTAACTTGAGGTTTACTTTTGTACTGTAATTCTCACTGTATGTGTGTTTTTAATAATTTTGAAATGTTTATGTATGGATAATTATTTTCTCTTAATTTTATTGAGGTTTGCTATTGAGGCTTGTGACCCACTAGTTGAAGCACTAGTTGCAGAAGCATGGAGAAGACTGGAAAGGCAAGTACTTTGTGTTCCTCATCTAAAATCAGGGTTATCCTTTTCAGGGTTAGTACAGTGAAATCTTGTAGTGAAAGAATGGGAAGGCCCTGAGCTTGCTTCTCATAGGCACACCAGATCAACAGCTCCATATAGAATAATTCTCTCTGAAAAGATCTGACGACTAGCTGAACAGGTTCTCCACAACAAGTGATGAAAAGCCCACATCTAGGTGGGTAGGAGAGGCAGAAACACTATCTTGCCAAGAACCCCACATGTGCTGCATCAGTCCATAGGAGGGATCTCACAAATACAGAGTGTATCCTGGAGGGGTGGGGTGTTTGCATCCATATCAGGCACCCCAACCCATGGGACCCACACCAGAGAGACAAGAGACAGAGATGTCTAGCTTGAAAACCAATGGACTTAATGTCCAATGGACCCAAAGGACTGTAAGGAACAGACTCTGCTCTTAAAGCACAAAAGCAGCAGGTTGAAAAGCACCTAGATTATATGTGAAGGAGATTCATTGACTAAGCTGAAAGCACCTGTTGGAAGGACAGGGGACCTTGGAACAGGGGATGGTGGTGCTGATGGTACCATTTTTACTCTCTACCTTGCTAGTATTGCTTGCCCTGCTAAACCTGGTGATGACTCACCCTGGTCCAACCCTGCCCCCACAAATCTGGCAGGCTGGCTTTTCCAGGATGGTGCTTCCCCATGGCCCTACCCTACCAAAACTAGCAGGTGGGCTTGCCTCAGCCCAGACCTCCCCTGCAGCCCTGCCAAAGGTGGTGGGTGCATGCAATCCACACGTGAGATACCTCTTGGAATGCCTGGCTTTGGTGACCAGGGGGGCTTGCACTTCTGGGCCATGGGACTGAAACAATCAGAGACAGTTCTTGGCAAGCTACTACCCCCAGGGCACTGCACAGACAGCCAGCTGAAACATCCCTGGTCCTCCTTTGACCAGTCTTTCAAAAGTGGGTAGCTGTTTTGCAAGATACACAGAAAGAAACAGAAAGTCAGGCAAAATGAGGAAACAGAAGAATATGTTCTAAACAAAAGAACAAGGTAAAACTCCAGTGAAACCCTAATGAAACAGAGATAGGTAATTTACCTGAAAAAGAATTGAAAGTAATAATCGTAACAGATCTCAGGAGAAAAATGGATGAACACGGAGAGAACTTCAACCAAGAGATAGAAAATACAAGAAAGTACCAAACAGAAGTCACGGAGCTGAAGAGTACAATAGCTAAACAGAAAAATACATTGGAGACATTCAAGCACAGTGAATGAAGCAGAAGAAAGGATCTCAGTGACCTGAAAGACAGGAGTGGAGCTCCCTGAAACAGAGTAGCAGAAAGAAAACAAAAATTTTAAGTGAAGATAGCTTACAGGATCTATGAGACAACATCAAGCAGAAAAACATTTGTATAATAGGGGTCCCAGAAGGAGGAGAGAGAGAAAATGATAGAAAACTTACTTGAAGAATTAATGGCTGAAAAACTTTCCTAACTTGGGGAAGGAAATCCAGGCCCAGAAAGCCCAGAGAGTTCCATATAAGATGAACCTAAAGAGATCCACACCAAGACACATTATAATTAAATGTCAGAAGTTAAAGAGATAATATTAAAATAGCAAGTGAAAAACAACTTGTTATGTATAAGGGAAACCACCCAAAAGACTATCAGCATATTTTTCAGCAGAAACTTTGCAGACCAGAAGGAAGTAGCAAGATATATTCAAAGTGCTGGAAGCAAAAAACTCTAAAAATACTCTACCTGGCAAGGTTATCATCAGAATGGAAGGAGAAAGAAAAAGTTTTCCAGAGAAGCAAAAACTAAAGGGGTTCACCACTACTAAACTAGTCTTACAAAAGATGTTGAAGAGACTTAAGCTGAAAATAAAGGCCACTAATTAGAAGAAAACATGAAAGTAAAAAATCTCACTGGTAAAAGTAAATGTATAGTAAAGGTAATGGACTAAGCATAAAACTAGCATGAAGGTTAAAATACAAAAGTAGTAAAAATAATTATAACTACAATAACTAAGGGATACACAAAATAAAAGGATGTAAAATGTGACATCTAAAACAAAGTATGGGAAGGAGTAAAAATGTAGTTTTAGAATATGTTCATTTAATTTAAAATAGATTGGTATACACATAGGCTGATATATATAATCCTTATGGTAACCACAAAACAAAAACCTATAGTAGACAACATAAAAGGTAATGAGAATGGACATAATGCTAAAGAAAGGCATTAAGCCACAAGAGAAGAAGAAAAGAACAGAGAGAGACTACGAAACAGCTAGAAAACAATGAACAAAATGGCATTAAGTGCATACAATCTATAATTACCCTAAGTGTAAATGAACTACATTCTCCAGTCAAAAGATGTAGAGTGGATGAATGGATAAAAAAGAAGACCCATCTATATGCCAATACAAGAGACTCAACTTCGTATGTAAGAAAACAGCTAGAATTGAAGGGATAGACAAAAAATGTTTCATACAAATGGAGACCAAAACAAAGCTAGAGTAGGTATAGACTTCAAAACAGACTAATAAAATACAAAGTGGGCTTTATATAATGGTAAAGGGATCAATCCATCAAGAATATATGATTGTAAATATTTAGGCACTCAACATAGGAGCCCCAGAATATATCAGCAAATATTAACAGACCTAAAGGGAGAGATTGATAGCAATATACTAATGATAGGGGACTTTAATACACCATATACATAAATAGCTAGATTATCCAAACAGAAATCAATAAGGAAACATTGACCTTAAATGACACATTAGGCCAGCTGAACTTAATACATAGATACAGAACATACCACTCAAAGCAGCAGAATATACATTCTTTTCATGTGTACATTTCTCCTCTCTGAGACAGATACATGTTAGGCCACAAAACAAGTGTCAGTGAAAATTAAGACAATTGAAATAATATCAAGAACACAATGGTGTGAAGCTAGAAATCAGTCACAAAAAGAAAACTGGAAAAAACTCAGATATGTGGAAATTTAACAACATGCTGCTGAACAACTGATGGGTCAATTAAGAAGTCAAAGGAGAAATAACATACCTTGAGACAACTCAAAATACAACTTTCTAAAATCTCTGGGATTTAGCAAAAGCATTTCTAAGAGGGAACTTCATAGTGATACAGGCCTACTTCAAGAGAAATGAAAAATCTTAATCTATACTGAATCAGAAAAAGAACAAATGAAACCCAAGGTTAGTAGAAGGAAGGAAATAATAAAGGTCAGAGTGGAAATAAATGAAATAGAGATTGAAAAGGCAATAGAAAAGACCAGTGAAACTAAAGTAAACCTTTAGCTAAACTCAGAAAGAGGGCTCAAATATCAGAAATGGAAGAAGGGAAGTTAAAACTGCCACAAAAGTAATACAAACGATCAGTAGTGACTACTATGAACAATTCTATGTCAACTAATGGATAACAAGGAAAAAATGAATGAAATCCTAGAAACATTCTTCTAAGACTGAATCATGAAGAATTAGAAAAATCTGATACTGATTACTAGCAGAGAGATTAATTCAATGATTAAAAAGCCTCCCAACAAAAATTCCAGATATGGCTACACCTGTGAATTTTACCAATATTTGAAGAAGAGTTAATACCTATCCTCAAATTATTCGATCCAAAAAATTGAAGAGGACGGAATGCTTCCAGACTCATTTTTTTTTGTATCATTAATTTACAATTACGTGAGGAACATTATGTTTACTAGACTCCCCCCTTCACCAAATCCCTGCCACATACCCCATTAGTCACTGTCCATCAGCGTAGTAAGATGCTGTAAAATCACTACTTGTCTTCTCTGTGTTGCAAAATCCTCCCTGTGCCCACCCCCCACATTACACATGCTAATCGTAAGGCCCCTTTTCTTCCCCCACCCTGTCCTTCCCTTCCCACCCATCCTCCCCAGTCCCTTTCCCTTTGGCAACTGTTAGTCCATTCTTGGGTTCTGTGAGTCTGCTGCTGTTTTGTTCCTTCAGTTTTGCTTTGTTCTTATGCTCCACAGATGAGTGAAATCATTTGGTACTTGTCTTTCTCCGCCTGGCTATTTCACTGAGCATAATACCCTCTAGCTCCATCCATGTTGTTGCAAATGGTAGGATTTGTTTTCTTCTTATGGCAGAATAATATTCCATTGTATATATGTACCACATCTTCTTTATCCACTCATCTACTGATAGACACTTAGGTTGCTTCCATTTCTTGGCTATTGTAAATAGTGCTGCGATAAACATAGGGGTGCATCTGTCTTTTTCAAATTGGGTTCCTGCATTCTTAGGGTAAATTCCTAGAAGTGGGATTCCTGGGTCAAATGGTATTTCTATTTTGAGCTTTTTGAGGAACCTCCATACTGCTTTCCACAGTGGTTGAACTAATTTACATTCCCACCAGCAGTGTAGGAGGGTTCCCCTTTCTCCACAGCCTCGCCAACATTTGTTGTTGTTTGTCTTTTGGATGGCAGCTATCCTTACTGGTGTGAGGTGATACCTCATTGTAGTTTTAATTTGCATTTCTCTGATAATTAGCGATGTGGAGCATCTTTTCATGTGTCTCTTGGCCATCTGTATTTCTTTTTTGGAGAACTGTCTGTTCAGTTCCTCTGCCCATTTTTTAATTGGGTTATTTGTTTTTTGTTTGTTGAGGCGTGTGAGCTCTTTATATATTCTGGACGTCAAGCCTTTATCAGATCTGTCATTTTCAAATATATTCTCCCATACTGTAGGGTTCCTTTTTGTTCTATTGATGGTGTCTTTCGCTGTACAGAAGCTTTTCAGCTTAATGTAGTCCCACTTGCTCATTTTTGCTGTTGTTTTCCTTGCCCGGGGAGATATGTTCAAGAAGAGATCACTCATGTTTATGTCTAAGAGGTTTTTGCCTATGTTTTTTTCCAAGAGTTTAATGGTTTCATGACTTACATTCAGGTCTTTGATCCATTTTGAGTTTACCTTTGTATATGGGGTTAGAC